AGGGAGATTCCTGCTTCCTCCCTTGGCCAAGAGGGACACCCCTACCCTCCTTGTGACAGAGACTTGGGGACAAGCATTATATTGTACAATGGGAACTCCCACACCTGACCACAGAGACATGGAAGAATGGCCCTTTATCCAGGACCACTGGGATTAGGACACCAACTGATGAGGTGTGGGGCCCTTCAGGGCAGGGAGAGGGAGTAAAGAAGAAAGCTCTTGCCTTGACCCTGAGGGGTCAGCACAGCTTGGAGGCTGCCCTCCATCCCCTCCTGGCCAGCTCTAGAGACAGTGCTCTGCGCTCGCCCCCCAGTGGTCAGACCACACTAGTGCAGGGGCGCAGGGCCGGGCAGGGCCCAAGAGCCGCCCCCCAGCACAGTCAGCACACGTAGCTGTAGCCCGGATCTGCTCCAGGCACTTCCCCTTCCCCTAGAACCTCCGCTCAGGCCCCAGGGGACTTGGCAGGATGCCCCTCCCTGACAGGACGTGTGCAGTGCCTCCCTCAGCCTCGCTCAGCCTCGCTCTGTGGGGTTGCACTCCCAGGGCTTCCCTAGCCCTCTCTCTCCTAGATATCTGCACACAGACTCTAGGGCCTGGACCTCTGGGACAGGAAGGCTAACTCCAGTCTTTACCTACAGCCTCTGCAGCCAGCAGGAAACCTCCACCACCAGGGCAGACTGCCATGACCCAGGCCCTCCAAACCCCACTAGGCGAGCAGAGGCCCACCAGGCCCACCACAATGTGAGGATCCCTATGTTCAACCAATGGGACACCCACTCACAGACAATGATGCAAACCTCACTCAAATTCAAAGGCTGCTGCTTGGCAGAGTGGCACATGCCTGTAATCCAGTAACTTCGGGGCTGAGGCAGGAGGATCGAAAGTTTAAGGTCAGCCTTGGCAATTTAGCCATATTCTGTCTCAAAACATTAAAATGGCTTGGGGCTGTAGCTCAGCGACACCCTGGGTTCCATCCCCAGTATGAAAGCAAGGGAGAAAGAAAGAAAGAAATTCAGAGGTTGTGACACAGGTAGTCACAGGGACCCAAGGGCACAGTAGAGCTACAATCCCTGCACTGCTAAGAGTGGTGGACCCAAGACCACCAGCTACAACGGCCCAGCCCCAAGCCTTGTTGGGTAGGAACTGAGGCTGAGTTCATCAAAATGTGCATACACAGGGGCTGGAGTTGTGGCTCAGCGGTACAGCGCTCGCCTAGCACATGCAAGGCCCTGAGTTCGATCCTCACACCACATAAAAATAAATAAATAAAATAAAGGTATTGTGTCCAACCACAATTAAAATACATACATATATATATATATATATATATATATATATATAATATCTATATTTTAGAGAGAGAATCTTTTTTTTTTTTTATAGATGGACACAACACAATGCCTTTATTTTTATGTGGTGCTGAGAATCGAACCGGGTCCCGCCTGTGCCAAGTGAGCGCTCTACCGCTGAGCCACAATCCCAGCGGAAAAAATATATTTTTAAATGCATATACAGGGCCTATAATCCCAGTGACTCAGGAGACTGAAGCAGGAAGAACAGAAATTTGAGGCTGGAATGGGCAATTTAGCGAGACCCTGACTCAAAACAAAAAATGGACTGGGGAAGTAGTTCAAAGGGTAAAGTGCCCTTGGGTTCAATTCAGTACTGCAAAAAAGAAAAAATGCATACACAAATTCCTGTGGTGCCTTGTGGCTCCACTACGTGCCCCCGGAACCCCTCAGACACATTCTGGCATGAAGGAAATCTCTCTGCTTGAACTCAGAAAGGCTCAGGAGCCTGGCTAGACTGTCCACTGGTAGAGCCCAGTGAAATGTAAGTCCCTGGCAGCGTGGCTGAAGCCCTCAGCAGGCAGAGAGAGCAAAAGGCCCTAGACTCCCACTGCCACCACCCAAGCTAAAGGCACTCTTTCTCTTGCTTTTTCTTTTCTTTTCTTTTTTTCCCCCCTGTATTGAGGATTGAACCCAGGGGCACTCTAACACCAAGCTGCATTCCATCCCTTTTTATTGTTTATTTTAAGACAGGGTCTTGCAAAGTTTTCAAGGATGGCCTCAAACTTGCAATCTTCCTGCCTCAGCCTCTGGAGTAGCAAGGATTACAGACCTAATCGAACATTCTAAACCCTCTCCAGCGGCCACCTCCCTTTCTCAAACCTAAGTGTGCAACAGCACATGGTCAGCCCAACTCCAGGGAGAGAAACCTGGGGGCGTCCAGGCAAAGTTCCCATCAGGAGTCGAACTAGCTCTCCTGGTCTGCCTCTCTGTCCCCAGGCAGTTCTCAAGTTCTAAAGGAGGTGGTAGCCACACCCTAGTAGCCCACACCCCCCTCCACCCCCACAGCTTTGCCCCAACCCCTCAAACCAGCTCCTCAGGCTCAGGGTGGTGTGCTCTGCCAGGGTTCACCAGCCAGTTCCACTTTGAGCAAAAGAATCCAGTGTGGTGGTGCCCAGGGGCCTCCCTGGGTCTTAGGTGACATAGGACCCCCAGCTCATTCCCTGCCCTTGACTGGTGCTGGCTTTCCTCCTTCACCAGTCTCCTATGGCTTACTCTCTCTCATCCCCCACCCTGACCCTGGCCCTGGCCCTGTAGCCTCACCCTCTGGCTGGCAGCTCTGTGTCCCCAGCTCTGTGGGGTCATCTCTTCAAGGAGCCGCCCAGGCCAAGACCCCTGACTGCCATATCAGCATTACTAAACTCTGCATGTCTTGCATTGCCCCTGTGTCCTGTTCTCTCACACTGTCCCTGTGCATACTCTCTTAGGGACAAGGACTTTAGAGGACTCACATCCTCCAGCACTCATCTCCCATCCGCCCCACAGGGCCTGCAGGCTTTGCTAACTCAGCTTTGGTGGTCCCAGTTCCTTTCCCACCCTCTCTTACTGCCCAGCTCACAGCTCAGAACAAGGTGCTTCCTAAAGCTGGGGCTCCCTTGTACTCCCCAGTCTGCACACTCTGCCCACCAGGTGAGGCCCCAGTCTAAAGACCCTCCAAGCAGAGAAGGAAGCCTGGGAAAGAGAAGAGTGCCACACCCTGCTCAGGGACTTCTCTCCTGGGGCATGGACCAAAGAGAGATCTAGTCCCCTCAATTACACCCAGTACAGACATGGAAACCTTCAAATGCTTCCCAAATCAATCTCTCCCTTCTTCCCCATTCTCCCTCAAATTCACCTATCAGGACAGCACCCATTAGATCACTGGATCCCACAAAATCAACCAACACTTATCATGTGCTAGGTGCTGCTAGGAAGCAGAGAAGGTGAAGCTAGACCCTGCAGTGAGAGGTTAAATTCGAATGGGGAGAACTATTTCAAAACCATTTATTGTGAGCCCAGCGATATGCTGGGGACAGAGGTAGATATCTGGGCCCCTATTCCTGGGGAAATCCCATGTCATTCTTTAAGGACCTCAAAGTCACGAGAGGCTTCACACTGCCTTTCCCCAAATCCCTCCACAGAGCAGGGCATTCTCGCCACTACTCTCACCTCCGCCCAGGGCCACACCCTAAGAAGCGCGCAATAGAACACACGAAACTCGCACAATCCCTCCGTGGTCACACAGTGCAGAAGTACCAGAGCCATCCCCACCTGGTTGTCGAGGCTCAGAACTGAGAGATCCCCCCAGGTCTTTCATCGGCCCCCTCAGCTCCCCTCCCACGCAAGGGGCACAACCTTCATTGCTCCCAACTCACAAGTCCCTCCTGGCCAAAGTCGCCAAGGATCTGTGCCCCCACACCCCAGACCTGGCACTGTAGGGGGCGCCCAGCCCTGCCAGGGGCGGGCCAGGCCCTCACACACTGCACACCCCCTCCCTGCATGGGAAAGCCTTACATAACACAGTTCTCTGCACACACCCTAAAGCACGCTGCCTTTCCAGCCCCACAGCAGGACCTCGCCCCCCGGCCCTCTCTCCTGGCGCGCGCTGCCCGAGTGGAGGGGTCCAGCGAGGGCAGCTAAGTCCTCCTCCTACGCCAAGCCCTGCTCCTGCCCCCACCTCCCACACACAGCCCCTTTCCCCCTCCCCTTTGACCCTCACCACTCCTCCCCAAGTTCTGGTTTGAATTAGTCACCGGCTCCAACCACCACATTCCTCAGGCTGCTGGCGCGGAGCCAAGCGCTGGGGCGGGGGCCATCCCGCCCGGACGGGTTTGGGAGTTGGGTGGGGGAGAAAGCGCCGCCTCTGGAGGGGAAGGGGCGGTTCTGGAGGCTGTGTGGCTGCACGCCCCCCCCTCCCGCCCACCCCAACGCAGGAATCTCCCTAATTATGCTCCCCAACCCCCACCCCCACTCCCACCCATCCCGTCGGGAGGAGCGCTGCAAACTTCCAGGCTCGGCGGCCCTGGAAGAAGAAGGGAGTTTTCTGGAGCCGGGAACACGGAGGGGCAAGAGCAGGGCGGGGCTGCTGGGGGTGGCGCGGAGGGCCGCCAGGAGCGAGAAAAGGAGAGGCTCGTGGTACAGAACAGGGTGGGGCCGGGAGGACTCGGGAGGCAAGGCAGGGGCGGAGGTGCGGGCAGCAAGGAAGGACAGCGGAGGGGGCGCACCGAGCAGAGGCTCAGGGGCACCGGGAGGGGCCGGGGGGACTGCCGCTGCGATCTCGGAAACTCCTGTAAACAGGGAATACAAACGGAGTGGCGCGCTGAGCCACCGCCCCAAGGAGAGGGGGTGGGATCAGGCCAGAAACGGGGCGCCCTGCCGTGCGGCAGGGACAACAATCCACCCCTGAGAGAAATAGGAGTGGAGCGAAGCACACTTCGGAGCGATTTTCCAACTTGACCCAACTTGTGCCCCAAAAGAGCTCCGCTCCCGCAGCATGACGCGTCGCCCCCCACCCCGCCCCGCGGCTGCGGGAGGACAAGCTTGCTCCAAACTGTGAATTCTCACAGTGACACCACTCTCAATGCGCCTGGATGGAGCCCCGCAACCCGCCTCCCCCACAGGTTATGGGTGCAGTGGCCCCCGATCGCGCCACGGTGCGCCAAGCGCCCCTACCTGCGCGTTCAGCCCCGGGGCACAGCCATAGCCAGCGCGGGACCCGAGGTCGCGGTGCTGTGGCTGCTGACTGCTGCGAGCCCGGGTCGGGGCGGGTCCGGCAGGGCGGGCGGTGCAGTCCCCGCGGCAGAGCTGCTCCGAGTGGCCGGGCCCCCGCGCGCGGAGGCGGCTCTTGTAACTCCGGCTCGGGCGGGCGGGTCGGCCAGAGCTGTGGGGAGAGGGCGGGGCCGGGCGGGGCCCGAACAGGGCTGAGACCAGCAAGCGGGGCGGACACTCGAGGGACCGGGAGTAGGTTGGTGTGGTGGAGGGGCACGGAGGGGACGCAGGAACAAGGAGGTGTCGCCTACTCCCCTCCCCCGTCTCTTGCTCCCTGCCCTGTAGCCAGGATCTACTCCCCTCCCCTAGTAAGTGGAGTGTGTGGCTTCATCGACCAAAACCTCCTTGAAGCACGCTGGGCTCATAGCTGGAATTGAGAGTCAACCCATTTTGCAGGAAGGGCCAAGGGACTGAGAGTTATTGGGGACTTGGATGATTCATTCGCGACCTCCAGCCTGAAACACGGACCTTTGAGTTTTATCTCTGATTAGGCAAGATTTCATCCCTCGTCCCAGACACTTCGCTTGGTTCCCAAACTCCTCTGTAGCCGCACCCATTTCTTGCCTTCAGACTTTCATGATGCCCGCTCATCCTCTCCCCCTATGGAACCAACTTAGAGACGCCGGTCCCACCCTCCAAGAATCAGGGTCGCCGATGCCCCAGGCTCTACAGTGCTGCTTCAGCTGGGGCAGCAACACCCGGAGTCGGGCCTGCAGCCCTTAGAGAAGTGACGGGGCTTCCCACCTTCCTCTGCAAACTGTCCCCCCGCCCCACGAAGCTGAGGAGCCTGGGCTTCAGCTCTTCCTCCGCCTTCCCTGTCCTCCTGGATTTTCCCAACCCCTCCCTCATCTCTGCACTAGCAGGACGCGAGTATCCCAATTTACAGCTATTTCCCACAGCCACTTCTAACTACATGGAGATTTTTATTAAACGCTTAATGATGGGGTATAGGGGCCTCTGACTACACACCCCATCCTCCATATTCCCTTTCTCTTCTCCCTTATGAGTCCTCTTATCTTCCCCCAACCAAGTGGCCATTTACTGCCCACTCCAATTTCCCTTTCTTCCCAAATGCTGGGGAAAGGAGACGGAGACCTCAGGCTCGGAAACTGAGAATACCTGGCCAGGGCATGAGCACCCTACTGGCTGCAGGATCTTGAGTGGGCTGGGGCTGAGACCAGCCTGGCCCTGTCCTCTGAAATGGCAAACATGTTTACAGGCTAAAAATACCAGCAGCAAAGTCTGCTGCCAGCCCTGGGGGCTGTAGGCAGGTCCAGTTACCCTCACAGGGTAGCGGTGGGGGAGGGAAGAGACAGCAAAAGGAGCCACAGAAATGCAGACAAGCAAATAATGGACACACAGAGGTGGAAACACGTATGTAGACTTCAGACAGGTATAGACATGCAAAGATGCAGAGACTTGGGCACCAGCCCCCCCACTCACACACACACATATACACACACATACACACCCACACACAAAGAGGTATTTACTTAATGACTCAACCTCACTATGCACATCACAAGCACACTGTCATAGACACAGACTTTCCTGAAAAATCACCTTCTCTCCCATTTTGTCCTGCACTCCTTTCCTAGCACTAATCTCACTTAAAGGAGAAAAAAAAAAGTCTCAACTTTTAAGCTTACAAACTTTTTTAAAAATAAAACAGCTGTTTGCTGACATCTTTTTGCATTTTATTTCATTGTATATAATATTTATTCAGTTTCATAAACATAAACCAAGAATGAGATAAAGTGGCCTGCCAGGAGCAGTGGCACACATCTGAAATCCCAGCAGTTTGGGAGACTGAGGAAGGAGGATCACGAGTTCAAGGCCAGCCTCAGCAACTTGGTGAGACCCTGTCTCAAAATCAAAAATAAAGAGTTGGGCTGAGGATGTAGCTTGGTGATAAAATGTCCCTGGGTTCAAATTCCAGTACTCCCCCAAAAGATAAACTGGCCTATAATCCTACAAATCAGTTAATCCTTGTTGACATTTTTATTTTATTTTATTTTTAGTTGTATATAGACACAATACTTTTATTTATTTATATGTGGTGCTGAGGATGGAACCCAGTGTCTCACATGTGCTAGGCAAGCGCTCTGCCAGTGAGCCATAACCCCAGCCCCTTGTTGACATTTTAAAAAATAAAATCAATACTTTCCTAATGGTGAAGTTTGCTTTGTTTTTTTCTTTTTTTTTTTGGGGGGGGGCGGGGGGGTGTGTTTGCTTACTTATTTAATTTGGTGTTGGAAATGAACCCAGGGCCTTCCACATACTAAACACATACTCTACCCCTGCACTACACCCAGGCCCTAAAATTTAAATAATATAGAAATGTATAATAAAAAGTAAATGCCTTCCTTCCTTCTCTACAAAAGTCCCTCTCCCACAAAGTAAGCACTGTTAATAATTTACCAAAGGATTTTTAACTTTGAAATGAATCATCATTTGGTTCCTTGAAAGAGCAAGGTCTCCTAGTACATATTAAAATGGGAATTGATTTACATTCCAAGTTTTCAGAAAGATGGCTATGGTGTGACAAATGTCACAAAGAGGGCTATAGGGGTTTGGAGAAAGGAGGTTGGATAGGAAAGAAAGAACAGGACATGGGACATGGGAAGTGGGAGGGCCTGGACAGCGTCATTCACCTCAGTTCAGCTTCATCAGGCCCCCCAGGAACAAGAGCAGAGGCAAGCTTCCCGGGCTCAGAGCCAGCTTATCTGCTCCTTTGTTTGTTCTGGCCACCTTCTTGGTCAACAGGGAAGAAGGCAGGATGGTGAGGTGGGCTTTTGGAGCAGGCATAGAACAGGGGTGACTGGCCAGGTACTTCATTCAGGAATAAGGGTAACAAGATGACCTGGTGAGGGTGGTTCTAGGAACTGGCTCCTGCCCGTCCTAGGAAAGTAGAGAGTGGGTAGCCTCCACACTGCCTCTAAAAACCATGATCTGGAACCAGAACTGGGATTTCCTACATCAGCCCACTCAGCCCAGGGGAGGGGAATGTTTTCAAACGATCTTGATAATGTAAGTGGAGACAAACTTTTAGAAATTTCTGCCAAACCTTTTTCTTCTGCCTAATGCAGCACCCCTCCACTCCAAATCCCAAAAAGCTACTGTAATGGTGATTTTTTTTCTTTCTGCATCATAGCATGTATTTTCATATATTAGCTCATTCAATCCTCACACACCCTGGGAAGGAAGCACCCAGTGAGGGAGGCAATGGTCTCAGAGAGGGTTAGTGATTTCTGTGAAGTCACACAACTGACTGAAGCAGGAGTCAAAGCTCCCACTAGCATTTAAGCTTCATAAGGAGAGAGGTCCCCCCCCCCCCGTGTATGCCCCATGCCTAGAGCAGTGGTGGGTACATAGCAATCACTCAGGAACAGGTTTTATTATTTATAAATAATAAATGGTGGCACACGCCTGTAATCCCAGCGGCTCGGGAGGTGGAGACAGGAGGATCACAAGTTCAAAACCAGCCTCAGCAATTTAGCAAAGCACTAAGAAACTCAGTGAGACCCTGTCTCTTAAAAAAAAAAAAAAATATATATATATATATATATATACACACACACACACACACAAAATAGGTCTGGGGATGTGGCTTGGTGGTTGAGTGTCCTGAGTTCAATCCCTGGTACCTTCCAAAAAATATTATTTATTTATTTGTTTGTTTATTTATTTATGTGGTGCTGAGGAGTGAACCCAGGACCTCATACATGCTGAGCTTGTGCTCTACCACTGAGATACCCAGCCTTTGGCAACAGATGAATGAATGAACAAATGAATGAACTCCAGACATAACTGATCACAAAGCCCCTGCTCTTTCTCCCAGAGCAGCATCCTGCATCCCACACCATTAGTTTCCTGGGACTCTCAGTTCCCAGAAAGCAATTTTCTTATGTGTCGGTCTCTCCTGCAGCTGCACAAACATTATTGTATGTTCCATACGGCGTCAGGGACCTGTGGTGATGGCATAAGATGTAAAAGAGAATTTGGCAAGATGGAATCCCTGCCCTAGAGGCACTCAGTCCCCAAGGAAATGGCTCTGATCACTCTTACCTTGTCCTCTGAATTTCTTGCAGGACTTATACTTTGAGAAAACTGAAAACTCTTTTTTCTTTAAAACCAGGTCTTTTACACTGCTGCCTCCCCCCACACCACACACATGTACATGTATGCACACTCACACACTTTGTTAAGAGTCCTCTTTGACCAACACTGGGGAAAAAAAAAAAAAAAAAGTCTTCTCCAAGGTTTCACACTCCTGTCAAATTAAAGGTTATAGTCTTTTATACCCACCCAGACGGGGAGGTCAGCCCTGAGCCAGCACTCTCCACCAGCCATCAGAGGTGTCTAACACCCCTGTCGTCCAGACTCACTTGCAAAACTAGGTGAGCTCTAGGACTCCTCATCACTGGGATAGCCCAGCTTCCCCAGAAGTGACGCTTCCTCCCTCCCTGGGGGTTCCCTGAAATATACGTGTTGTGAGTTTGTGTATGATGAACCTTGGGCTCCTCCGTTGCCAGGCAATGTGCCTCTGTTTTGTTCCTATTATGCCTGTTTCCATAGTAACCACAAAGGGGAGCTCTGTGGACCGGCCCCTTGCCAGGGGATTCCCCTTCCCCTCCCTTCTTGCCACAATCCCCTTTTCTGAAATCAGCAATTTACAGGGAAGAAAAAGGCTGACAGCTCAAAGGGTAATCTCGGCTTTTAAAAGTGTGATCCAGAAAGGAAGTGAAGTGTGCCGTCTGTTCTCAGTCTCTGTAAAACAGACTCCCCCCCCACCCCATGAAAGTTCCCTTGCACAGCGTCCTTAGCAGCAGAGAAATGACTATCAACCCTTCTTAGGGCCACTGGGGATCTCCCAGACCCCAGCTCCACCCCACACCAACCCTGGTATTAGCTTCCCTGCCAAACAGGCCCTTTTCCCGTTCACTCCACACTTCCTAATCTGTCATGTTCCCCAGCCAAACAGCAACCTTATTGGATGACTCAAGAATTCAAACATTTCCTTAGCAGTTCTCAAATTCCGAACTCTTCACCCTAACCCTCAA